CTCCTCCTCCTCCTCCTCCTCCTCCTCCTCCTCCTCCTCCTCCTCCCCCTCCTCCTCCCGGGTCGCCTGCGGCCCGGGGGGAAACCGTGCACCTGGGGGCAGCCGCTGGGGCGGGGGAGGCCGTGGGCGCCATCCGTCGTCGCCGCGTCGGAGCACTTAGACAGCACCTGCCATGTACAACCCGAGCATCTTCTGTGGGTGGAGGGCAAAGGGTGACATTTGAAATGCCGTTTCGATTGGTTTTCTAGGTTTGAATTTGCCAAGGGTGAATCACACGACGGATTGATCTTCGAGGTACAAAAGCCCATATGGATTTCACCCTGGGTCCTCCACCTTCAGAACATGCTCAGGCAACACCGAGGCTATTCGTAGTCTGGCGTATTTCGTTTGGCTTATTTGGCTTGTTCAGTCGTTCAGTCAGGCATATTCAATAATGATTGTCTGTCTCAGCTTGCTTTAACGCAGGAGCCACCGATGACTCCAGATAGACGCAGTGCGTCGGGGGTCGGTTATGGCACCGCAGGCGCCTTCATATCTTCTAGGATTTTTTGAATCTATAGCTATATATAGAGAGAGGGAGAGACAGAGAGAAAGAGAAAGAGAGATAGAGAGACAGTGTCCGCCGCATCGGGGCTTCCGTCGCTTAGGGGCTTACGTCTGTTCAGAGGGGGTCTGCGTAACATCGAGCCAATCACCTCTGGCTGGTGGTTTTGGTTCGCTACGATCGCTTGGAATTGTGACAGCACTGGCAGTAATTTCCATGATCGAGGCTCATGGGGCCATTGCTCTTCAAGTTTATTTTGAAATTGTTACCATGGTCAAGATCATCATCTACGCGGCCGCCTTTGCAATCGCCCTCCATTGCATTCCCATCATCGTTTACAGTTGTGTCATGCCAGGTTTCAGGCTTCTCAGCGGCTGCTGTTGTCGTCGAAATCGTCATCTTTGCTGCTTTCGCGATCTCTTAGCCACTCTGGCCCGAAGGTGGGGAGGGCCTTTGCAGTTTTGAGCGCCCGGAAGTAGTCCCGGCCACAGATGCATTCGTGCACCGCCATATTCGGGGTGGCCACCCTCGCTGGGATCCTGTTCGGGCTGCACGAGCTGTACCCTCTTGAGGACTTACGATCAAGTGAGAAAGCGGCTGACAGCGAATTGCAAAGGCCGAAGAGAAGGTACCGCTGGACAGAACCGCTGCCTTCCCGTGCTTTGCACCCTTCTGCCCCGAGTGTCGGCCACGCGCAGAGGGGGCTAGGGGGAGGGGGGGACGGCTTCTTGGAAGCGCCCCTGCTTCTTAGACAGCGTGGACCTCTTCTATAGACCTCGGTCTGGCGCCTTCTGAGAAGCAGCCTCCTTCTAAGAAGCCGTAGCCTCTCCCCCTGGCCATTGCCCCCCTGTGCGCGCCGCCAAGACTTCTCTGTGCCGAGGCAAATCCACAGGAGCGCCGAATGTGCTCGGTCCGAGTGCGCCCTCTTCGGCCCCTGCGCCAGGTCGCCCGAAGGGGCACGTGGACGACACCGCGCCCGGTCGCTTCGGGGTCCTGGGCCGCAGGGAGCTCCTCTTCGTCCCAGGGGGAGGGGCGAGGGCGCGAAGCTAAAACCGCGCTCCGCGACGCGCGGAGCGCGAAGTGTTGGGCCATTTGGGGGGGCGCACTGCGGCCGATCGAGGACCACGCGACGTGGTACTACGACCAGATCCACTTCATCGGCCTCTTCACGCTGGCCTTCCTGGACGGGTCCAGGCTGAGGAAGGGGCACGGCCTCGAGCTGCCGCAGGGGCAGGGCCTGACGGGCAAGGCCTCCGTGGGGGACGCGCGCAGCGTGATCGCGCAGCCGTTGGCGCGCAGACAGGGGGTGCCGGGGTCGGGGGGGGGCCTGCCGAGCAGGCTCCCCGCCGCCTGGAGGGTGTGGGTCGCATGGTTTCCAGGGGGCCGATCCCTTCCCTGAGATCCTGGCGTTTGAGTTTTTCGAGCCAGGCGTTCCTCACATGCTTCTCAGGCCCCGGGACCCTCACAGATCGACCCGGCTCGAAAAAACGACGCAGGAGGATGCGGTCTAGGGCTCTGGGCGTGAGTTGTCTTACGATGTTTCAGTGATTGCGCTAGGGCGGATCTGAGGGTTCTAGGAAGCCCACAGGAGCCGATCCCTTTCTAGGGGGGGGCGGTGACGGATGGAGGAGAGCGGGGATCGGGGGGCAAAAGGGTACCCGTCGGTGTCGAAAGTAGGTATTTTGGGATTCCCATATACCAATCTACTTAAAGCGCCTCCCTACTTCAATGATCGAGTGGCTTCACCTTTTCCGTCCCCCCAAGGGGGCGGACGGAACCCAATCTATTTTCAACGCCTGTCTACTTCATGTTTTTGCCAGCTTCTTGCGACCGATGGGTGCGGATACCGCTGCCCGTCCAGGAGAGCCCTCCGCCCTCGCGGCCGGATCTTCCTCGAGATGCTGATCGGAGCGCGCCCTGAGCTCTTCGAGGGCCGCTCGCGCCCTCGACCCACCCGTGCCCCTCCCCCCTCTTGCGCGCCGCTAGCGCGCTGGGCGCCGGCGGAAGCCCTGACCTCAGGTCGGGCCTTCTCCTCTACAGGAGGAGTATGCGTGGAGCTCTCCCCATCTCTGCATCTGTTAGCGTGGACCTGTCCGCCGTGAGTGCCTAGGCGCAAGAACTGTCGAGCATTCACGGGCGCGAGTGTTGGCGGTCTGGGAGTGAACGGAACTGTGGATGAGTTGGAGTGTGAATGAGTCTCAGTAGTACGAGCGCGTCTCTGCGCATGAGCCTGGGGCCTCTGCGGCCTCCTGAAACCTTCTGGGGCTTCCTGGAGCCTCCTGGGGCCTCGTGTGGCCTCCTGGGGCCTCCTGGAGCCTCCTGGAGCCTCCTGGGGTATCCCGGGGAGGATTCGTGCCCCAGATATAGGAACAGACTGCGGATTAGAGCCACAGGAGAAAGGCAATCTTTTGGAACACACGTCAAACACCAAGGACTCGTGCCCCAGGGGGGCCCAATCTATTGGAACACACGTAAAACACTTAGGATTGGATGCGCAGGAATAAGACAATATATATATATATATATAGAAACATGTGTATACCACACTCTATTCGTGCTCCAGGGGGGGGTCCAATCTATAGGGGGATACGTACAGCACATGGGATTGGAGCCACTCCTGTGGCCTTTTGAGGCATCCTACTCCTGGGGCCTCTTGGGGCCTCCTGGTGCCTCCTGAGGCCTCCTGGTGCCTCCTGGCGTTTCCTATGGCCTCCCAGGGCCTCCTGTGGCTTCCTGTCGCCTCCTGGAACATCCTGGAGCCTCCTGAGGCCTTCTGGAGCTTCCTGGGGCCTCGTGGAGCCTCTTGGGGCATCCTGTGGCTTCTTGAGTCTTCCTGTGGCCTCCTGGTACCTCCTGGGACCTCCTGTTGCCTCCTGGGGCCTCCTCGAGCCTGCTGGAGCCTCCCGTGGCATCCTGGGGAGGATCCGTGCCCACGAGTCTGGCCACCCAAACAGGCAAACCGATCGAGACATTATCACATTCAGGTGAAAACGAGCGCCTCGCTTGAGACATCCTCAGCATCTGCTCCGAAAGCGGAGGATCATGGGCATGCAAACAGGCAAACCGCTTGAGGCATCCCCGCCATTTTGGCGCGAACGGAGGAGTGAGATACCCGATGGCGGCTCCCCCTTGGGGGTGCTGAGACCCGCGCCTCGCTCGAGACATCCTCAGAATTTGCTCCACTACCATCATCATCATCATCATCATCATCATCATCATCATCATCATCATCATCATCATCATCATCATCATCATCATCCTCATCCTCATCCTCATCCTCATCCTCATCCTCATCCTCATCCTCATCCTCATCCTCATCCTCATCCTCATCCTCATCCTCATCCCCATCCTCATCCTCATCCTCATCCTCATCCTCCTCCTCCTCCTCCTCCTCCTCCTCATCATCATCATCATCGTCATCATCATCATCATTTTCAAATAGTTTGGGGACGATTCTTCTAGTATTTTTTCTCCCCCGCGTGCACACCGCCTAATGTTCGTTGCGTGATGCTGCTTCGTGATCCACCCGCTCTTCTTAACCCGACGGAGGACCGACAGCATGTACATACAAGCTTCGGAGCTCCACGCGGATTTCTTGGATCGGCGCTGGGGCTCCCTGGCGGCTCCTCCGGCGCCGCCCGGCCTGCTCCGCGCGCCAGGGAAGGATTCCCCGCGTGGGTCCAAGAAAGCCGCGTGGACCTCCGAAAGTTTCACGTTTATGTTGGCTGTTCTTCCTCTGCAGTCGAGAATCTGAGTGCAATATGGTATCCCGAAAAGCTGGACCAGCGTTTCTGAACCAACTTGCTGGGAAGCTTGCCCAGTTTATTTCGCGTTGTCGCTTCCTTCAGCGTTAACGACCCAAACTTGCTCTAGGCCGGTGTCATACATTTCGCGGGAAGTTGGCCCAGATTTCTTAAACCACAGTTTTCTTGACTACACGTGCTGTTGTCATTACGTTGAGATGTGCCTTGCAAGGTCGCGGTTATCACAGGCAGCACCAAGGGCATCGGCTTCCAGGCCGCAAGGCGCTTCCACTCGCACGGGGCGCACGTGGTCCTCAGCGGCCGCAAGAGGATGGACGTGGACTCGGCAGCCGCGTACGTGCGCTCGTACAGCGAGGCAGCGGGGCGAGCCTTTGGCATCCGGTTGCCTCCGGCAACTCCGCCACCGTGCCAGCGGAGCATCCTGGGCGGGAGGCGTCTGGGTTTCAGGTGCGCAGATCGGCCGCACTTTGCGAGGGATGGTGGCCTCGGGATGGGGTGGGGTGGTGCACGGTGGGCGCGGCGAACGGTGGAGGGGGGGCCCTTCGACGATTGTGAAGTCGAGCCTGTCCTTCTACAGGAGGAATGCTCAGAAATAGTAAAAGGATAGTCTGGGGACGATTTGTTTTTAAATAATTGTGGACCATTTTGGGGTATGGTTTGTTCTCTGGTATTCTTCATCAAAAATCCACCTGTAGGAGGACATGCCCGACCTAAGACGATTGCAGACACCCTGCCATACAGCACCTGGCATTCTAGCACGCCTCGACGTGCCAGGGGGCACGGTGGCGGATCCCGCTCGACCTCGCCGATTTCAAGTCGGTGCGCGCCTTCGCGGAAGAGGTGTTGAGCGAATTCCCTGTAGTGCATTATACGCATGGCCTTTGGCCCATCCCGCCAACGTGCCCTGGGTTTCGGGTGTGAAGCCTTTTGGATGTTCGTTGGAATCTCGTGGGAGGCCTCTTAGGGGCCTCTGGGACGCAGTTTGGAGGCAGTTTGAAAGCCTCTGGGGGTCCGTTTTGGAGCCTCTTTTGGGCCTTTTGGGGGCCTGTTGCCGCCTCTTGGGGGCCTCTTAGGGGCCTCCTGGGGCCTCCTGGGAGCCTCTTGTGGTCTCAGGCCTCCTGGGGGCCTGTTGGGGCGGAAGGCTCGGATTTTCGGTACGTGCTCCATCTCTTGGGCCCCTCTTGGGCCATCTTGGAGTCCTTTTGGGCCGTCTTGGGCGCCTCTGAGGCTGTCTGGGAGGCTCGTATGCCGTCAAGGAGCCCTCTTTGAGGCCTCTTTGGCCGTTTTGGGGTGGTCTTGGGGGCCTCTTGGGCCGTCTTGGAGCGTCGGAAAGGCGAGAATGCGAGAACGCATTTTTTTCCCAACCCTCCTTGGTTGGGTATTCGTTTTGAATAGAGCAGCGTGGTCGCGTCCCTTCTCCCGCCTCCCGCCTCTTCCTGTCTTGCCTGCGGGGGGCTGCGATCTGTGAAACTGTCGCCACTTTCGAGGCCTGCTGGGGGGCCCAGCACAGTGAGGGCCACGATCTGCGAAACTGTCGCCATTTTCGAGGCCTGCTGGGGGGCCCAGCGCAGTGAGGGCCACGGGCGGACCCAAATTAGACCTCGCCATCCCTGGGGGGCTGCGATCTGTGAAACTGTCGCCACTTTCGAGGCCTGCTGGGGGGCCCAGCACAGTGACGCCACGGGCGGACCCAAATTAGACCTCGCCATCCCTGGGGGGCTGCGATCTGTGAAACTGTCGCCATTTTCGAGGCCTGCTGGGGGGCCCAGCACAGTGAGGGCCACGGGCGGACCCAAATTAGACCTCGCCATCCCTGGGGGGCTGCGATCTGCGAAACTGTCGCCATTTTCGAGGCCTGCTGGGGGGCCCAGCACAGTGAGGGCCACGGGCAGATTCAAATTAGACCTCGCCATCCCTGGGGGGCTGCGATCTGCGAAACTGTCGCCATTTTCGAGGCCTGCTGGGGGGCCCAGCACAGTGAGGGCCACGCGCGGATTCAAATTAGACCTCGCCATCCCTGGGGGGCTGCGATCTGCGAAACTGTCGCCATTTTCGAGGCCTGCTGGGGGGCCCAGCACAGTGAGGGCCACGGGCAGATTCAAATGAGACCTCGCCATCCCTGCGGGGCTGCGATCTGTGAACCTGTCGCCACTTTCGAGGCCTGCTGTGATCCCCGTTTTCGAAGTGGCTAGGAGTGCTCAGGAATTGTAAATCATCAGCTTTATCAAGCCCTTTTCCTGTAGCCAGTGTCCTGCGAGTCTCCCGAATTCCGTCTGCAGACATATGTAACCCTCGCTCCGTCATCGCCCCCTTATAAAGTATCCTAAACTATTTGCGCCCCGCTTTTGCGCAGGGGTTGGGTACGTCGCCAGGGTAATTTGTTTTTACAACCTAAAGCAAATCAGTGATTTGTGCGTCTTGAGGCCCTCTTGGGGGGCATCTTGGAGGCCTCTTGGGGCGTCTTTGAGGTCTTCTGGGGGCCATCCTGAGGCCATCTTGGGCGTCCTGGGCCGACCTCGGGTCTTGGAACGTTCGGGGGCCTCGCGGGGCCCTCTCGGCCCGTCTTCGGGCCCACTCGGGCCCGATGAAAATCGTGCGACGACATTTCCCGGAGCCCAGGGGGCACGCGGGAATTGGGCGTTGCGTAATGGGGGGGTCATAAATGGGGGGGCGGCGAGGGTGTTTCGAAAAGGTACCCAAACGGTACCTAAACGAGCCCCCTGGGGCTCTGGAGGGGCCCGAAAGGGGCACGAAAGGGGACCTTTTCTGACCCCCCCATTTGTGACCCCCCCATTAAGCCACGCCCAAGGGAAGCCCCAGGGGGCACGCGGGTCGCCCCAGCAGATCCGAGCATTCAGGCTCCGGGCACCTCGAAGACTCCTCGCGAGAGAGGGCTGAGGCCGAGAGTCGAGCGGGTGGTGTAAGAGACCTCCTCCCGAAAAGCTGGGCCAGCGTTTCCAAGGGCTCCCTCGAGGGCGCGAAGTTATTCGCGCTTCGCGCTTCGCGGTCCTCGTTCCTTCTCCCCCTCCTCCTCGTCCTCCTATTCTCCCTTTGGGAGGGCGGCGCGAGAGCGCGAAGTTATTCGCGCTTCGCGCTTCGCGGAGCGCGAAGCGCGAAGTTGGGAGCCCTAGTGTAAGAGACCTCCTCCCGAAAAGCTGGGCCAGCGTTTCTTGACCAACCTGCCAGGAAGCTGGCCCAGTTCCTCGAGTACGTTCGCCCCTCCAGCATCAACACGAGCACTTGGCTCATGTTTGTCTCGAGAGACTTCTGGAAAGTTGGCACAGGTTTCTTGAATTACCATTTTCTTGGTCATGTGTCTGGCTGTAGAGGATAAGGGAAAGGACTTGAGGACGCTCGATCCGTGCCCAGAGGCACGGTGGCGGAGCCAGTCGCCTGCGGCACACCCCCACCGCCGCGGCACCGCAGCGCGGCAGCGTGACGGGAACGCGGGTGAAGTGTTGAGCCCGTTCCAGTTCCGTGCTCTGGCTGACCTGGCGCATGCAGAGGGGGCCCATGCCAAGAAACATCCTGCTCGCCTCCTGGGTGCCCTGGGTTTCTTGGGTTTCGATGGTTTTGCTGTGGAAGGCGTGACGTTCCCACACCAAACTTCGATGGACGTCCTGGAGTCCCAGGGTTGGGTTTCTTGTAGAAGGTTTCTTGTGGACTGGCCTCCACTGGATGGCAAGTTCCCGGCTTCCGCCTGCCCTTCGCCGCCTTCAGCCGCCGGAGGCGGCCTCGTTGTGCTTTCGCCGGCCTTCCGCCGCCCTTCCGCCGCCTTCCGCTGAGAGAGAGACGGCAACTCCCCCTGCACTCGAAGGTCCACCACCTTCCGCCGCCGGAGGCGGCCTCGTTTTGCTTCCGCCGAATTTCCTCCACCTTCCGCCGAGAATCAAAGGCGCACGTTTCCCACTGTTACTTTAAACGAGTTGTTGGTGGACAAAAGCATGATGAGGGTCGAGGGAGCTGCCATCTCTTTCTCAGAGAGAGGTGGCAACTCCCTCGACCCTCGAGGGCGAGGCCCTTTCTGGGGCGCCTCCTGTCAAGAGTATCCTCCCCCTGTCCGCAGCTTTGCCCTCGCCTCTTCTTTGATTCGAAGGCTTCCTGGGAGCTTCGAGCAGGGGATCCACTGCCGAATCAATGTGCCCCAGAATTCATTTGTCCGTCGATCCCCTGAGACATGCATTACATGTTCGTAGATCTACGAGTCGTAGATCAACGCAGGTATAATGAATGGTCGTAGATCTACGACCATTCAGTCTACCTGCATACGGTTTTTTCGCCGAGAAATCCATCTTGGGGCAGACCGATTCTGTAGTCGATCCCCTACTCGACAGCCTGCCTGGGGGCCTCCTGGCAGCGCGCGGCCACCGTTCGGAGAGAGTCTGGAGGTGCCCGCCGCCACGCGGGGCGGCCGCCCTATGGCGGCCTCGGGCGGCCACTGGGCGAAGGCCCAGCGATGCCAGCCAGCGCGCGGGGCAGCCACGAGGTGGCCACGAGGGGATGGAGGGTTTCTCCGAAGGGCTTAGGCGACCCGTCCTCCTCCTCCTCCTCCTCCTCCTCCTCCTCCTCCTCCTCCTCCTCCTCCTCCTCCTCCTCCTCCCTCCTCCTCCTCCTCCTCCTCCTCCTCCTCCTCCTATCCTCCTCCTCCTCCTCCTCCTCCCCCTCCCCCTCCCCCTCCCCCTCCTCCTCCTCCTCCTCCTCCTCCTCCTCCTCCTCCTCCTCCTCCTCCTCGGGTCGCCTACGGCCCCGGGAGAAACCGTGCACGAGGGGAACACCCAGAGGATGCTTTTCAACATCCGGCCACGCGCACAGGGGGGCCGGGGGAGGGGGGAAGGGCTGCTTGGAAGCACCCCCTGCTTCTTAGAAGGCGCGGGCCTTGTCCGTAGGCGTAAGGCCGGCGCCTTCTAGGAAGCAGCCTCTTTCTAAGAAGCCTTCCCCCTCCCCCGACCCCCCTCTGCGCGCCGCCAAAACAAACAAGAGTGGTCTTAGACGTCTCGTGCGAGGTCTTGTGCGGGATGCCTGGTGCGGTCTTTTGGTGGCTCCTGTGTGGAGCTCTGAGCGCAGATTCGCCTTCTCTTGCCTCGTCCTTGCCCTCTGATTAAGACCACTGTTTTTCAGTGGGCCGTGGGCACCGCCCGCACCGCAGCTCGACCATTGCGTCTGTTAGAAAAGAGCAAATAGGAACCTCGCAGTGCGGGCACTGTTTTCGACTGCACGCAGGAGTGACCCGTTACCGGAGTGACCCTTGGTGCGGGCCCACCCGGCCCCCCCCGATATGGCCGGACGCGGTGCGGTAGTGGCGTCTTGCGCGCTTGTGTTTGATCCCCCCGGGACCCCCAACACGCCGCGCACCAACGGTCACCCCTGCCCAGGGTCGCTCTCGCGTGTAGCCGATATCTGGGGAACCGAAGCAGCTAAAAATACAGCTAACAAATAGGGCTGCATCCAAGTATCGCGCAGGAGCGATGGCGGACCTTCTGTTTAACGCTGCGTTCACGACAGAGATCGGCCACAGCTCCACCGACACGAAGTACTGGATGTCGGCCAGCGGGCACAGCCGAATCATGGCCGCGAACCATCTGGGCCACTTCCTTCTGACCATGCTCCTCGCGCCTTACCTGGCCCAGGACGGGTCCATGGTCCCGTTGCATGGTGGACAGTCTCCTTCTCCTCACCCTCCTCCTCCTACACCTCAACCTCCTCCTCCTTCTCCTCTTCTCCTCCTCTTGTTTTCTCCCTCCCAAACCTCCTCCTCCCCCTCCTCCTCGATCCTCCTCGATCCTCCTCCTCTGTCTTCCTCCTCGATACTCCTCTTCGATTCTCCCCTGTTGATCCTCCTCCTCGATCCTCCTCATCCTGCTCCTCCTCCTTCTTGGTCCTCGCCTCTTACCGCCATGCTCCTGTTCCTCAGGGTGCTCGCACCTCGATCCTCCTTTCCTCCTCCTTCGCCTTTTCTGCGTTATTGCTCCTCCTCCTCCTGGGCTTCCCGCCCCTCCTGTTCGATCGCTGGACGTCCTTGTGTCCTGGACTTCGGGGGGGACCCAGCCGTTTGGACCAGGGCCTTCGGGTAGGCCCTTAAGCAAGGGGAGAAGCGCCAGCGCCCCCTTCCGTCTCCTCTTCCGTCTCTGCCTTCTCCTCCTCGACTGGTCGGTTGTAAGGCAAGGAAGTTTGTGGCCTGAGCGAGGAAGGGGCAGAGCAGCGAAAATATTGAGAAGTTATAAATCATGGACGTGCAGAGGGGAAGGGGAGGCTGAGACCCGCAACCCAGAGCCTACTCCGCGTCCCCTCAAATTGGGTGCTCCCCAGTAGTGTCATCCGTCGTCCTTGAGAGCCATGCAGTCGTTGGCCATGTGGACGTCGACGAACGGATCCAATCATTATTCCCTGGCGCCGTGGAGCTTCATGGCTCGGTTCCCTCATCCTTGTCGGGCGCATTCTCACTGAAGCTCCGTGTGCGAGCATACTTCCTTTTGGCCGATCTGTGGCGTGTGGTGAGATTCAGCAAAGATTGGCGTGGCAGAGTGGAAACACATCTTTGCGTCGGCCGGTAGGCAGAGGGACTGCGCTGGCGAGTAGAGCAAAACGGGGCTTGCTAGGCGAATTCATCCACCATGCAGGAGGGAGGGGAGGACGACAAGGCGCCGGCCCTGGGGGGTGGGTGGGACGGGGGGGGACCAGCAGAGTGGAAACACATTCATGACAGACGGATTCATCGGTGCAACAGAGTGCGATGCCCATGCAGGAATGAACCACTCGTCCCGTCCGTAGCTTTTTGGGGCTCAAGGCACGCTGTCTCGAGTTGCCTCGTCTGCACCTCAGGCGTTGGTCCCACGCCGCCATGCCCGCTCGTCGCACCCCGCTGCTCGCGGCCCTCCTGCTTGGCGCCGCCGCCGCGGCGGCGCTCTGCGGCGCGGGGGCGTTCTGCGGCGGCGGGGGGCGCGCGCCGCAGGCCACCGCCCTGCGGCAGGGTCTGTCGGCCCGGGCGGCTTTGCCCGTGGAGTCCGTGGCGGACGTCTCTTCGGTCGTGACCGCGCTGCAAATCCAGCAGCCAGCTTGGGCGGCCAACTTGGTCCTCGTGATCGTTCCGATCAGCATCCTCATCATAATCTACCTCCAATCGGAGAAAACGCTGCAGGAGAGGGACGCCGTGATCGGCAAGCAGAGGTTGTGAACTTGGCAACGAACCTTGGAGGTCGAGTGAGGCGCTCTTGGTAGTGCAGTCGCGGCGTCATAACTACGCTGTTGACGCGTCTGGTTTTTGAGAAGCCGTTACTCGCTTGCGGAGCCATGTACATCAGGCCGCTTGTGCGCCCCCTGAAAAATATCTGGGCGAAGGACCCAACCATACGCAGTTGTGAGTACTGCGGTTGTGAGTATCGTCTTCAGTGGAGCTCCCACGAAGCGTGTGTGGGGGGGTGCCGATATGGGTGCGGCGGTGCCATGCAGGCGCTGCCACTGGGGCCTTCTGTGGAGCTCCCCACGGGGTCACGAAACGTTGGAAGGGTGTGCCGGAACGGTTGCGACGGGGCCATGCGGGCGCTGCCACTGGGGCCTTCGGTGGAGCTTCCCATGGAGCTACGATGCGTGTGAGGGGTGTGCCGGAATTGGTGCGACGGTGCCATGCGAGCGTTGCCACTGGGCCGTTGGTGAAGCTCCTCATGAGGCCACAAAACGTGTCAGGGGTGTTTGGAACGGGTGCGGCGGTGCCATGCTGGCGCTGACACTAGGGCCTTCGGTGGAGCGTCCTATGAAACCACGAAGCGTGTGTGCCGACATGGGTGCGACGGGGCCATGCGGGCGCTGCCACTGGGGCCTTCGGTGGAGCTCCCTATGGAGCTACGAAGCGTCTAGTGGGTGTGCCGACATGGGCGTGGCCGTGCCATGCTGGCGCTGCCAGGTGTGTGTGTGTGTGCCGAAAGTGGTGTGGTGGAGCCATGCTGGCGCTGCCACTGGGCCGTCGGTGGAGCTCCCCATGGGGCTACGATTCGTGCGAGGGGTGTGCCGTCATGTTTCTAATATGCGGGGGCAGAGTCGGGGACATCAGGAGGTAGGAGGGAGAATGGACAATGGGGAGGAGGAGAGGAGGGGCGGCGAGACGAGGGATCACCCCCCCCCCGTCCACGGCCAGGGGCGGCCCTCGGCTAGATGCATTTTTGTTTCTTCCTTCTTCTTCCTCTTCTTCTTCCTTTGTCTTACTATCGTCATGTGTGTCTTATGTTTGCAACGTTTTGTTTTCGTGGCATTTTGGGCACCCCACTTTTTTGTTTACAGAAGTATGGTTGAGGTTTATTTGTAATGAAATTTAGTTTTATTATTAGTAGTACCATTACTATCATCATGTTTGGGAATCGTATTGTTGTAGCAGCTAGTATGACCATTGTGGTTTTATGCATCAGTCTGATTGGATGTGTTTTCATTGTTACTGTTAGTACTACTATCATCATTATGACTATTTCAGTGATTTTGTCCATCCGATATTTACCAATCTTGACTACCATTGTTATTCGTATTGTACCACGTGTATAGATAGAGCTTGCTGGATGGTTTTCGGACTTCCAGGTCTCTCATCCAGTCGTCTCGACTATCTCTGTGAAAGTTTGGCTCAAGATCGCCTGGCGGCGAGCGGTTCGGGCGCCACGACGAGCCACTCCGAGGTCGCCGCCTCCGCGCGATCGGCCCTCCTCGCGAGCTCGGCGCTGCTGCTCTGGAGCCAGGCTGGGTGGCATCTAGCAGCCTGGGCTGCAGGACGCTACGGGCCCGGGGCGGCGCGGGCGCTGTCTGTCGCGGGGGCGCGGAGCGTCGCCGCGCTAGGCGAGGTCGCCCAGGCCGCCGCGGGCTGGGGTTGGCGGGCCCTGCACGCGGCCGCGACCCTCGCGAGTTCCCTGCTTGCTCTCGCCTGGGAGCAGCGCGGGTGGCTGGCGCGGGGAGCCTGCGCCTGCTGGTCACGTTGCCGCTCGGCGCTGGAGGCCGCCTGGGCCGTGGGCGCGCAGGCGGTCGGAGGGCTCCGTGGCTGGAGGGCGGCCCGACGGGCCGAGCGCGCACGCGCTCACGAGCTCGCAGCCGCTTCAACCGCTCTCGAGTACGCTCTGGTGGAGATGGCGCTGGTAGGCGGTGTGGCCGTGGGAGCAGCCGACCCTTGCTGGGTGCTGCTCTCCCGCAGTGGCGAGTGGGACGAGGTCCTGGTCTTCGGTCAGGTGCACGGCGCGGACTACAGCCTGGCCCTGACGACGGATGCGACAGGCCTTGCGTTCGTCTGGGTGCTGGTGCGTCTGCTGCCAGAGCACTTCCGCGCCGTGGTCGTGCCTGGCGGGGGGGGTCCCCCGCACGCCGCCCTTCGGCATCGCGGGGGCCCTGGCCAACTGGGTCTGCGAGCCGCCGCACGCCGCGGTCCAGTGGGACCCGAGCGTGGCCGAGCTCGCCGCGCTGCGGCTGGAGGCCCAGGGCGTGGCCGCGGCGCTGCCGACCATCGCGCTGGCGCCGGGGGTGATCTTCGGCGCGGGCTCGCAGGCGGCGGCGGTCCCCGCCTTCATGCCGGTGGGGGGCCCCCTGCCTGCAGTGGGGGGCGGCGCCGTGGTGCCTGCGGCGGCGGCGAGCGCAGGGGCGGCAGCCGCGGCCCCGCGCCGCGGGCGCGGCGGGGCGCGCGGCTGCCGCGGGTCTGGGCTTCGCCGCAGTGGGAGTCCCCGACGGGGCCGCGGCGGAGGCTCCGGCAGCCGGGGGCCTGGGCCTGGCCACGCTGCTCAGGGAGGTGCGCGCGATCCAGGGCCAGCTGCAGGACGGAGGCAGCAAGAGCGGCAGGCACGACAAGAAGGACAAGAAGTCCGACTCCAAGAAGAAGAAGAAGAAGAAGAAGAATAAGAGGTCCGACTCCAGCGGCTCATCGAGCTCGAGCGTGAGCAGTTCGTCAAGCAGCAGTGGCTACCTTCGGTGGCGCGGGCCAAAGGCCAAGAGCCGTCGGGTCGACCCTGCGCAGGGGCGCAAGCTGGAGACCGAGAAGTTCAAGGCGAAGGGCGACCTCCTGGCGTTCGCGGCCAAGCATCCAGGTGCGCTGTCGGGCTACTTCCTGGCGATGGTGCACCGCAAGCTGAGCCACGGGCGCCTGACGGGGACCAAGCAGTTGCGCCACGCGTCGGTGACGACGTGGGCTCAGGCTCATTCGGGCCTGAACGAGCTGCGCGACCAGCGCGAGGTGCAGACGCTGGCGCTGGTCATGGATCTGATCAACACGCAGGACCTGGCGACGGCGATGGACGTGCTGGCGCAGCGCATCATCGCGATCCAGCGGGCCAAGGCGAAGGGGTGCTCCTGGGAGAAGGCGGAGGCCGCGGAGTTGCTGGCGGGGGCGGGTGGCGGGGTCGCTGCAGGCGGCCTCTTGAAGCTCACCATGTGACGAGGTGGCGGAGGGCGCGGCAAAGGTGGCTGCGCCGCGGGGGCCAGGGGTGCACCCTGGCTTCCGTGCTGGTCGGTCTCGGCGACTGGCTGAGCTTTGCGGGTGGTCCCCTGGGGCTACCCCTACGGCGTGGACGCCTCGTTCGGCCCCATGTCGTGGGGTTCGGGAAGTCATCGCCAGTGGTCTTCCCAGTCCCGCTGCTACGGCGTGG